ACCTGTCTCCCTCATTACCAATAGCTCACGTGGATCTGGGAACTCCGTTATATAAGATAATATTCTTATATGTAGATAGTACGCCACCTGCCATCTATGACAGTTTCAATCGGCTTTGAGGTTGTATCGCAATCGCAGCAGATGCGCTGAACAATCGGAAACTTGCGCGCCCGTATCAATATGCAAAATAGATCTTTCGATCACATTCGATTCGTGTACAGAAAAGATCATGGCCGTTAAGGAATACCAGCAAGCGTAAGCCATTGAATTTATTCCCAACTCAATAAAGGACAGCCCCCAACACATCAGACCCACTCACACATGCACAAAAGTACATACCATCAGGCGTCGACTGTATCTGCTTCACTATCGTATTGTAGCGTATACGCTGAATGATCCCAAACTCGGCCGCATAGCAGGTTATGTAGTCCAGCACTGTATCATGCTGTGGGAAGTCTGTGTCTGCCTCAGCAAACGGAAAGTCGCTGAGTTCCATGAGGGTCTGGGACACATTTGTCCTGAGATATTTGTAGCACGGGCCTTTCAGAGCGGGATCGATCTGTATTGATTCCAAATTGAGGTTACGTTATAAGCTCTCAGGGGCGTAAAATCATTTGAAGTGCTTCATACACTATAAGCGCGGTGTGTAAATGAACAGAGGAAGCGCGAGAAAATGCAATTCAAAAACAAGTGTTCCGTTGTTTAAGGCAACAGATAGCTCAGAATCAAAGGTACAAATTCAATGGTCAGTTTCGACGTCGTTAAGGAATGAGAGAGTAAACGATCACAAATCTACGCAATACAAAGATAGAATATACAGAAAAAAATCTAACCATATCAGCAACCATCAAAGTGTATGTAGACGCCAATAAACGAATAAAAAATACACCTGTGTATAAATAAATGAATATCACAAACTAATATATATATATATGTGTGTGTGTTTGTGTGTATTGTTTGTATATATATGTATGTATGTATGTATGTATGTATATGCATATAAATATATATAAATATATATATGTATATACATAGGGTTTATACATACACG